TTAAAATACGTAACGTAACAGATAAAAATGTAGTTGACATATAGACCACATTAGCTCAAATGGACTGGATTTAATTGAAAAGTTCGTAGAATTGTTGAGGAAAAAGTGGGTCCATTCACTTTTCAAGCAAATGCATGTATACAGTAAAAGGACAGCTTTTTAAAAGATGGCTAGTTAGCGTTCAACCTCATCTCAACAAAAACAGGTCCTAGATTCCGAGTCCTTACGGTATCAAGACCTCCTGGATGTTGTTCCAGATGGCTTTTCCACCCATGATGATTGCCAGCTGAGTCGTCAGCTCAATCAAACAACCACCCGGATCACACTGCAAATCAAAGACACACATTGACAGCCATGGATATCTAGCTATTTACTTGGCTATGTAAACACTTTATGGACTAATAGTACCTCCTCATTTCTGTATTTTCCCAAAAGATAAACAGGCTTTCCTGGATGGCCAACTGCTTTCCCCTTTGCAAAGGCGATGTAGAAACATGAGGAGTAATAGTTGACAAATTGAAAGAGGAACATCTTCAGCGTCAAGCTGTTCTCATAGTCCGTCTTGGTTCGTGGAAGTTCTGTTATTGTGTCGGATATGAAAAGACTGGATTAGGTTATTTTCCATTGAGTAAAGACAGTACAGTTTGATGTTTAACTCACCGAAGTCTGTGATCCAGATGGCGACCCGCTCATATAGAATATTGAGGATCATGATTACAACAAAGCTAATCAGTGATGCTGTGACAGAAGTGGCCATCTGAGGTGTCACATACTCCTTTATTGGCTCAGCAATTGTCAAGTTTGTATTCCTCAGTTCACGAGAAAAAGTAAAGAAGACAGCCAGGCGGTATACAGTGATGGCCACAACAGATGCCAGGATCAACATTATCTAAAGGACAAAATCAGTAAAATAAATAAATAAATAAATAAATAAATAAACAAAACAAAATTATTACAAATTCTTTCTGACAGTCAAGAGATGTGGAGAAAGACAGCTGGAATAGCAGGATGCTTGAAAACATGTGGAGTCAAAGAGGAAACTGTTCCATGTACCCTAACTACTTTTATAGATCAGTACTTCCTGCTCAATATTACATTGGTTAAAATGGACATTTTATTTTTAAGCAAAATTTGTTTTTTTGTGAACTGAAACCATATTATATAAATAATAGTATATAATTATTGTAAAAAGGAAGTAGTAAGTGAAATAGTTCCGTACATATCTTGCTGCAGCAAGAGTCCTGACAGGGACTAGAAAGAGAGAGCATATTTCTCCCGTTTTGGCTTCCCTTCATTGGCTTCCTGTTAAATCCAGAATTGAATTCAAAATC